GCATGTAGATGCAAATTAAATTCAACAAAATGCATAAAAGTGACCATCAAAATGTGATTTGTGATTTAGGTTGTTGTGCGTCTGACTGTATGTTGTGTGTGTGTTTTGCTCTATAAAGCACCTCAGTCTCTGCCGCAGCTGGTGGGTTTCCTGAACTCTGGTCTTTCCAAGAAAGAATCTTCTCCTGAATATGACAGTGCGATGGCCACCGCTCTGCGCAGCGCAAACACTCTGATTAATGCGGATCCTGATACTGGCAAGAACCTGCTGAACAACAGCCTGATCAACAACCTCTACAACATGAGTCTCAATAGGTGAGTGCACCACTGACCTAAGATTATCTGCATTAAGGAAGTGAATGAATGGTTATTTCTCTCTCTCTCTCTCTCTCTCTCTCTCTCTCTCTCTCTCTCTCTCTCTCTCTCTCTCTCTCTCTCTCTCTCTCTCTCTCTCTCTCTCTCTCTCTCTCTCTCTCTCTCTCAATTCAATTCAATAATTGCTTTATTGGCTTGACAAATGTTACAAATGTATTGCCAAATCAGTTATAAAGTTTACATTAAAAGTAACATACATATATAATAAAAAAACAGTACACACAGTAAATAGTAGTAGTAAAAAAGATAATAATATAATATATAATAATTAAATAAAATATCAACAATACATCATATTATTCAATACACACACACACACACACACACACACACACAGTTGAAGTCTGAATTATTATCCCCCTTTAATTTTTTTTTTCTTTTTTAAATATTTCCCAAATTATGTTTAACAGCAAGGAAATTTTCAAAGTATTGTTTTATTTCGGTTTTTAATTTTTTAATCACCATTTTAAGGACAAAATTATTAGCCCCTTTTGGCAAATTATATATATATATATATATATATATATATATATATATATATATATATATATATATATATATATATACAACAGTTCTGTCTGGTTCTCAAATCTGATTGGCTGATAGTCGTGTGATATTCTGCAATATCAGAACTCATACAGCCTCTTTACCCTTTGTGTATTATACATATTTATTTATATAAAAATTTTAAACAGAAAGGAATGAGAACATTTTTATTATATAACACCCACTAATACTGTCTGTCATTCAGTGTAGCAACAGTTCATCCAATAATTCATTTTTTTCCTTACCCAGATGTCAGCAAGAAGTTCTTAATAATTGTATATGCTCATTTATTTGATGTATTTTAAAAAGCAGAAGTCAGAGTTTTGTTGAACTTATTTAACATAAATATTACTGGTATGCTAAATTACAGTGGAAATATTTTCACCCGTATTTTTACTTATTTGAAAAATGTACAAAATATTTATGTATAATTCAATATATTTAGATTATGTAAACCTCTTTGCAATTAATATGCTTAATTGTTCTCTTATTTAGGGTGCTCAGCTTGAGTTTTCCTCCTTTACAAATCTCTCATTTAGATTCATATTTTCTATAGAAAGCTTAACAAGGTGTGCATATATGTTAAATTAGTCAGTACTGAAGCCAAATCTGCAGCTAATCTTACAAAATAACTTATGACAACAGTCCAAAAATAGTACACCCAAGTGTATGTTAGAGAAAAATATTAAATACAAAATTAAAACATTCAAGAAAAAACAAAAAGATTACGTAATTTGTTTAAGTTTTGTAGTTTGTATTGTTTTCCTAATAATTCTTATGATTTTAAATGTATTATCTTTCTATTTTTAAAGATGTTCTCTTTCTAAAATATTATTTTAATAAATATATCTGTTTAATAAATCTATTTTGTTTAAATGTCCCAAAATGTATGATCTATATTCACTGAGAAATGAATACAATGGATGGTGGGTTTCACTTCGGGTGCTTCGGTTTCCCCCACAGTCCAAACAAATGCGCTATAGGAAATTTGCCATCGTGTATCAGTATGTGTGTAAACGTAAGAGTGTATGGGTGTTTTCCAGTACTGGGATGCGGCTGGAAGGGCAACCGCTGCTTTAAACACATGCTGGAATAGTTGGCAGTTCATTCTGCTGTGGTGACCAATGATAAATAAGGGACTTAGCTGAAGTAAAAACTTAATGAATGAATATTGTTATTCAATCGTATATGTATTGTATTTTAAAATGTTTTGTTATTTGTTGTTTATCAGGGATCTTCAAAAGTCCAGCAAAGCGTCAGCACTTCTTCTTCACAATCTGTGGTCGAATAAGAATATCCAAAGCTTTCTTAAAAAGGTAAAAGTGCAAATGTAAGGCATACTGTGACTGTCAATGTTCATCTTAACACACGTGCAGATATCTTCACCACTTGTTTGTGCCATAGAACCTAGAACTCATTCTGCTATTAAAAAAATGTGTGGAAACAATTTTCTCTTGAAAATCAAGAGTTAATTTAACATATGATTAAGAAACAGCCACACCTTGAGCTAAACATAAAATTCTGAAGCAGAAAAAGTGAAAGCATTTTCTTGTGTATACAACTTCCTAAATGAGGTATTGATTCTTCAGATCATGGTTAAGCTTATCCAGCCATTAAATCACCAGTACAGATGTTGCTGTTTATTTTTAAAGAATTGTGACATTTGAAAAGAATGAAAACAGATGTGTATATTTCGTTCAGCTCATGTAAAGAAGTCTGAATGAACTGAATGTAAATACTGGAGCGCGTGGAGTCAGATGTGTGTTTCCTCAGGCGTTTGGGGATGTGTGTGTGTTTGGTGTGTAGTTCTGTGTCTGTCAAGCGGTTGAAGGATTAGTGTTTGGGTGGGGTTGGAGAACTAGACATGAGGTGTGTGAGAAAGCTGAAGGGTGAAAGCGGCCACACCTCAGCACAGCAGCCATTAAGGATTTGTGTGTGTGTGTGTGTGTGTGTGTGTGTGTGTGTGTGTGTGTGTGTGTGTGTGTGTGTGTGTGTGTGTGTGTGTGTGTGTGTGTGTGTGTGTGTGTGTTTGTGTGTGTGTTTGTGTGTGTGTGTGTGTGTGTGTGTGTGTGTGTGTGTGTGTGTTTGTGTGTGTGTGTGTGTGTGTGTGTGTGTGTGTTTGTGTGTGTGTGTGTGTGTTTGTGTGTGTGTGTGTGTGTGTGTGTGTGTGCGTGTGTCTCAAGATGACCTGAAGAATCTGAACTCACTGGTTTCATAATTCTCAGATAATGTTGAGCTAGTGCTGAAATCGGCAGACACTTTCGTAGATTTAATAACGTTTATACTGTACAAACTGTATATTCTGACCTCATGCCCCTCAATTCAATTGTCATAATACTTCATTACATTTTAAGTATTAATTCAGGTTCTCAATGTGACACTAGTCAAAATAGAATAGGGTCATCAGCAGAGTATAGCCATCTGATCAATCAAATCAGAGTAGATCAGTATGACCAATTAGAGCAGAGTCATCTAAATAATCATAGCATTGTAGATCCATCTGACCAATCAGATCAAAGTTGAGCCATCTGACCAATCAAAACAGGATAGGGTCATCTGACCAATCAGATAAGATAATAGCACTATTACCAGTTAGGCCCATCTGACCAATCAAAGCAAAGTAGAGCCATCTGACCAATCCGATCAGACTAGATCAATATGACCAATTAAAGCAGAGTCATCTAACCAATTATAGCACGGTAGATCTATATGACCAATCAGATCAGAGTTGAGCCATCTGACTAATCTAAACAGGATAGGGTCATCTGACCAATCAGATTAGATAATGGAGCTATTACCAGTTAGGGCAATCTGACCAATCAGATCAGAGTTGAGACATCTGACCAATCAAAGCAGAGTCGAGCCATCTGACTAGTTAAAATAGAATAGGGTCATCTGATCAATCAGATTAGACAATAGCACTATTACTAGTTAAGGCCATCTGACCAATCAAAGCAGAGTAGAGCCATCTGATCAATCAGATTAGAGTAGATCAATATGACCAATTAGAGCAGAGTCATCTGACTAATCTTAGCACAGTAGATCCATCTGACCAATCAGATCACAGTCGAGCCATCTGACCAGTCAAAACAGAGTAGGGTCATCTGACCAACCAGATTATATAATTGAACTATTACCAGTTAGGGCCATCTGACCAATCAGATCAGAGATGAGACATCTGACCAATCAAAGCAGAGTTGAGCCATCTGACCAATCAAAACTCAATAGGGTCATCTGACCAATCAATTCAATTCAATTCAGCTTTATTTGTATAGCGCTTTTACAATGTAGATTGTGTCAAAGCAGCTTCACATAAATGGTCATAGTAACTGGAACAGTGTGGTTCAGTAACTGGAACAGTGTGGTTCAGGTTTTAGTGTTTAAGTTCAGTTCAGTTCAGTTTAGCTCAGTTCAGTGTGATTTAATCATTACTGAGAGTAATGATCTAATGATCTAATCAGATCATAGTCGAGCCATCTGACCAGCCAAAACAGAATAGGGTCATCTGACCAATCAGATTATAGTCGAGCCATCTGACCAGCCAAAACAGAATAGGGTCATCTGACCAATCAGATTAGATAATGGAACTATTACCAGTTAGGGCCATCTGACCAATCAGATCAGAGTCGAGCCATCTGTCCAATCAAAACGGAATAGGGTCATCTGATTAATCAGATTAGACAATAGGACTATTACTAGTTAAGGCAATCTGACCAATCAAAGCAGAGTAGAGCCATCTGACCAATCAGATCAGAGTAGATCAATATGACCAATTCGAGCAGAGTCACCTGACCAATTATAGCATGGTAGATCCATCTGACCAATCAGTTCAGACTACCTGATCAATCAGATCAGAGTCGAGCCATCTGACCAATCAAAACAGAATAGGGACATCTGACCAATCAGATTAGACAATAGCACTAATACCATTAAGGGTCATCTGACCGATCAAAACAGGATAGGGTCATCTGATCAATCAGATTAGATAATAGCACTAGTACCAGTTTGGGCCATCTGAAGAATCAGATCAGAGTCGAGATGTCTAACCAATCAAAACAGAATAGGGTCATCTGTCCAATCAGAGCAGAGTATAGCTCTATGACTAGTTAGAGACATCAGAACAATCAAATAAAAGTGGAGTAGGGCGGAATGACCAATTAGAGCAGAGCCATCTAAATAATCATATCATTGGAACATCATCTGACCAATCAGATCAGAGTAGATCAGATTAGAGTTAGGGCAATATGACCAATTACAGAAGAGTATAGCCAATGTATCAATAAAAGTAGAGCCATCTGACCAATAAAACAGTAGAGCCATCTGACCAGTAAGAGCAAAGTGGAGCCAAATGACTAAATAGAGCAGAGCAGAGCCATCTGACCAATCAGAGCAGAGTTGTCAAACCAATCAAAGCAAAGTAGTTTCATCTGATCCATCAAATCAGAGTACAGCCATCAGACCAATCAAAGCAGAGTAGAGCCACCTGACCAATTAGACCATAGAACGGGGCAATATGACCAATTAGAGCAGAGTCATCTGACGAATCAGAAAAGAGCCAATGCATCACTGAATGTTATGAGAAAATTATTATTATTCTAATGTTTTGCGTGGACATAAATTACTGTAGGACATTACAAAAATATTAGGAACCTTTCAGCACTACTGGTGATCAGTAACACTAAATGGCATCTAACATGGTTTATGTGCTTGTTTTGCAGAACGGCATGAAAAAGAAGTCCTTTGTGAATGAAGTGACGTCAGCAGCTTTCAAATCTCATCTGGTTATTGACTGAGAAGCACTTTAAAAAATGCATCTAAATTGCATTGCTTATTAATTTTGGTTAAGTCTTGCAGAAGTAATGGTAAGAATGAGCTTTTATTTCTCTCGGGGCGGTAGATGCTTTATGTTGAGAAACACAAACACTGCATACATTAGTTTCTGTTTCTCAACAATGTATTTTCATTCAGTTGTTAGTGAATATGGAATTGTGTTTATTATGTTCTGAAAGGATTTAGGATCATTGTAAAAATGATTTGTACGAGTGTTACGGGCTGTTTGTGCAAGTTTAACATGATATATATAATGTTTTATATAGCAAGTGATATGTTTATCTGACCATATAAATATGATATCACATACAGCATCTCTCAGTCAGTCAGCCAGTAATTCATTCTAAGAAGTTTCCATTGCTCGTTGACGTCTGTACAACTTTACAAACATTGTGGTTGTTGCGTTAAGGGTGTGTATCAATTTGTCATGTTTCATTACAGTTACAAGTTTCAATAAAGGTTTTAACAGCACTAGTTTGTGTCACACTTTACTATGAACTGCACAACTTTTCAAAACCACAGCATTATTAGCATGCAAGCAAGATAAACAAAGTTATTAAAGTCATTAAAAATGAAGCGGGCCACATTTGGCTGCAGTGTGAATGTAGCCATAGAGACATTCTCTGACTAACATCCAGCAGCTAAATGTGTCTGAAAAAATATTCAAAGGCTTTTGTTTTTCAGAAACAGTGCAGATGTGAATGCGCCTGAATGTTCTGATTGGCTGGAGTAGACGTCGTAAAGTAGTGGTCCCCAACTTTTTCTAACTGCGGACCGGTCAACACTTGACAGTTTTGCTGCGAACTGGGGGGTTGAAATAATAATTATAATAATAAAAGTGAATCCACTGTGTACTCATATTGAACTTTATTAGCACATTGCTCCAACATTACAATGCTATTATAACATTAAGAAGTAATAACTTTATTAACACATTGCTCATACAATATAACGTATTATAACATCAAAAACTGTCTGTAAGGCTAAATCAATGGGAGCCCAGAGCTTGTTTCTTTGCAACGAGATGGTCCCACCTGGGGGTAATGGCAGACAAAGACACCAGAAGTGTGTTGCTTATGTCCAGTCTACTCCTTTGCCTTGTTTTGGTGGCTGTCACTGCAGAAAACCCCGCTTCACACAGATAGGATGTTGGATATGGCAACAGGGTGTTAGCGATCTCTGGGTATTCTGCCATGACTTTAATCCAGAACACCGGCAGATGAAGAACTGTAGATGAAGTAGTAAGTCACCCTTTATTATTGTCCCAGACTTAGATAATAAATAAAACAGAAATAACTAACTAATTCTTGTGCGGCCCCGGTACTGATTTGCCGTGTTTCCAGTATCGTGCCTAAAGCGAGCGAGCCAGGGTGAGTCAAGGCCAGTCGCATTTCCACTGTTACTTCCGGGGCCTTATTGGGCCAAATCGGGGCTTTCTTAGGGGCCAGCGGGCGGGCTTTTTCAGCCCGCTGAATACTTTGGGGCAAAGAGGGCCAGCTGGGGCTTCGGGGCGGAGTGAAAGGAGAGGTGGGCACAGTTTTCCGATCGCACACGAGTCTATGCGCCAAACACATAAACAAATAAATAAATAAGGGAAAGAAAACATCTGGAACAAATTATAGTCTGGGGTCTTTTTGCATATGATCGCCCTTATGTTTCTCTTTTAAATGTAAGGCTCATGCATAAAATAATAAAGTAGTTTTCATTTATAAGTGACTTTTCTTTGCTTGATGTTTCAATAACGCACAATAATCTTTACACCATATTAAAGACACAGCAGACAGTAAAGGTTTTCGAGAGTTTTTGTCAAACACTGAAACAATTTCCTTTACTTAAGATATAATAAGCAACATCTTTAAATAAAGGGAATCACCTATTTAGTGTCATAAAGCCTATAGGGAAAAGTTCATGTTTCAGTTGTCTCCGGAGCATTTGGGATGAATGTTGGACAGCGTCTGTCTAACTGAAGATGTTATAAAATACATTTTATATCGAGTTATTAACCGAGAATTTTATATATGTGGTTTTATATTATGGATGGTGCGCTCCCTGCGCTGGGTTTCTCTGTTAGTGGCAAGACCACTGGATTTCAATGCCAACAGTCGGTCGGCGAGTAAATGAATATGATGAATCAGAACACACAGGTATGTGCGTATAGACATGCATTGTGCTGCTGTACAGTAACGTGTCATTTGATTGTTTTGGTTGTCCTAATTTTAATAGTTTCGTGCTGATGTGGTGTGTTTTATCTGCCTGATTCTCTGCCTGATTCCCGCTGAAGTGGGCGGGTTGTGTGACGTTTGATTCGGGGGATGTTCTGGGGGCGGGGTTTGCGTGACGCGCTGCGAGCTACCAGCCCGACAGTGGAAACGCAACATGATTTCGGCCTCACTGCTCAACCACCCTAGCTCGCACTGGCCCGATAGTGGAAATGCGGCCATTGATCCACGGACTGGTACTGGTCCTTGGCCCGGGGGTTGGGGACCACTGTCGTAAAGCACGTTGTAATCATCAACACACTCTTTCCAGCAATCTTCCTTCTGCGTTCACACAGAGCAGCATTCTGGGAAAATACCAGGAATGTTACAACTTCTCTTTCTGGACAATAGCTGGAATGAATTTACAGGTATTTTCAAAAAGGGCCTGTTCACACATGATTAAAGGTCTGTTTGTGTAAAAGAAATTTGTCAGAGCAGAGTATGTCTTGTGGTAAACTGCCAATAAAAGTGACTGTCAATAAAAGTTTATGTATTTATTTGACATGGACATCAAAATTACACTGGACAACCAGATGCATTTGTTTAAAGGTGCAGTAGGTGATCTTCCACAATGCTAACAGCTTAGCATAAATCTCTGAATCAAAGTCCCTCCCCTGCCGTCTAGAGCCACGCCTCCTGAAACACGAGCACCGCAAAAGAACCCTCTCTCATGTGTTAAAAGCGACTAGTGCTCGTCCGGCGGTGTGCAAGCCAAACTGACATGCTATTTCAGAGTGAATATTTAGAGTGGCATGGTAAACAATAGAGGGAGAGGCTAAGCGGAATAGCGGTATTACTTGTGTGCTGTTGTTAAAGTAAATAAAATCTACATCATCGATGCTGTAAAAGGTCCCTTATGAAACTGAAAAGTCCTATCAATCCTTCATCAGAAGATTTTAGTAGCTAAACGACACTTCTATAAAGATATAACCCATTTGTAACAACATCTAACGTTACATCAGCTTTGCGTGAAGCTAAATCTAAGAGAAATCCTTCAGCCTTTCTGTCATCCTTTTTCCAGCGTGCAAAGGTAACTCTAATATTGATTCAGGTTTTTAAAAATTATGATTCAGCAGGTTTTTACCGATCTCCTGCACGCACCCTCTCTCGTGAACGCAGAGCACAAACAGCGGTCGGTGGAGATGCGTACAAACGGCTGCATTTGCTGACAGACCATTCAGCCTACTTATCGGATTCGGAATTATGAGAGATGTCGGCCCGACTCTATTTAATTGGATAAACAGTTTTAAGTTTTATGCCTTACCCAAAATATATAAATACATATAGATACATTTAGATCATTTACTGTAATCATTACCATTAGACTGTAAAGAGACTTTTAACCAGCACAACAAAAATGCTTCTGAAGACAATCACCTACTGCATCTTTAAGTGTTTTAGCAAATTTGCTAATTCTCAACACCTGTCCACAGGAAGCTTGACAAAATTTGACACAATGGAAATATAATAAATACAAATACACAACATTATAATTCTTTACATAAAATTACTGAAGGCAAAAACAGAGTCGACATGATCTAACAAACTAACAGTAGACTATTTAAGCAAACACTGCTGTTTTGTTTTTAACCGCTTTTTAAGATTACTACTAAAATATTTAGATTACTTTCTGATTTTAGGCTAACAGGTAAATCATTCCACAGTTTGGTTCCCTTTACAGAAAAAACAGATTGACCAAAGAAGGTCTTACACTTTGGCACTAGTCAGTCACCATTAGCAGTTGAACTCTGTGTAACTGTGAGAGGTTTGACGCCGACTGATTAGATCAGAAAACGGGATCGGAACATGATTATTTAAACATTCAAAAACCAATTTAAGATAATTAAATTTAATAAAACTATCAAAACTAAAAAGGTTATGTTTACATAAAAGCTTATAAGATCATCGAGCCCTGGGCTCCCTCCCAAGAGGGGAGTTTGAGCTTAGGTAGATCTCGATGACTCCCCTTCCTGCTTATTGTAGCTAAGTGTCAGATATGGATGCTGAAAAGGTGTACTCACAGTTTGGCTAAAATATTTTGGATTAATTGTTTAGGGTGCTTGTTTTTGAACTGTGGGAGGAAACTTGGGGAAAACCCACGCGATCACAGGGAGAACCAACCAAAATTCGCACAGAAATGCAACCTGGTTTGGAAAGGAATTAAACCAGGGACATTCTTGCTGTGAGGCAACAGCACTAATCACTGGCCACCATGTCGCCCGTTTGAAAGGAGGGAAAGGGGTGGGGGGGGGGGGTCTTCAAGATGAAGATATTGAGATGAAAAAAGTCTGGTAATTTAAGTTAAGGATCCTCTGATAGGATAATTAGTCATTAGCTTAAGTTGGAACAGCTGTAAACAATCATAAGCATGTGATCCTCTCAAAACTTGTTTATAAATAAACTTCACTTATATATTGAGTCAATAGTCTTAAATGTGGTTAAAGAAGCTTGTGACCAAGGTGTAATGCAATATGAAAAGTCAGAATGTCATTGTGTGCATGCATAATTTTACAGTTTGATATGTTAAAAACCTTCTAATTAAAACAAAAACAGTTTAGACTTGGCTCAACTTTCTTACTCATATTTTTAACATGACTATCAAACTTTAAATAAATGTCTAGAGTTATGCCAAGATACTTAAATTCATTCACTTTTTTAATAACTTTATTTAACTTTTAATTTTTTAAAAATTTCTTATTGAGAAGCACATACAGTAGAAACTGTTTTCTTGACATTCAATCTTAGCCAGCTCAAGCCATCTTGAAATGTGTTGTAAAGCCTGGGTCAGTTGCTCACCTGTCCGGTACGGTGTTTTAGCTGACACATAGATGACTGTGTCATCTGCATATAACTGGCAGTTAATCCCTGGACAACAATCTGGAAGATCATTTATGTACATTGTAAACAACAATGGGCCAAGAACAGACCCTTGAGGTACTCCAATACTGTTAGAACGCACAGATGACATCACTCCGTTGACCCTCACACATTGCTGTCTTCCACCCAAATAAGACCCAAACAACTGTAAGGCTTCAGCAGACATTTTGAACTCTCTTAATTTTTTTAGTAAGATAATGAGATTAACCGTGTCAAAGGCTTCCTTTAGGTCTAGAAACACTGCCCTGACCACACTACCTTTATCCAGTGACCCTTTTATTTTTTCGAGCAGATAACAGTTTGCCGTTTCTGTCAATGATATCTGGATGCAGCTTTTATGATGCAAGCTGAGATTGCATCACTCAGCGATGCAATGTCAGACACAACGCACTCAATGGAGTGAGTGATGTCACTGTGACGGATAGGGTTAGGGGTGGGGTTAGGTGAGCACATTAAAAAGCATTGGATGCAGCTCAGATTGCACCGAGTCTGCAGCCAGACCCCTCTCGTTTCTGTGGAATAATTCTCTCTAAAACCAAACTGCTGTGGATAAAGCAACTGTTTAAGAGTCTAAATGCTCCATTAATTGTTCCGCAAAAATTTTCTCCAGCACTTTTGACACTACAGGTAGAATGGCAATAGGCCAATAGTTACAAGCAACATCCTTATCGCCAGATTTATAAATCGGTATAACTATTGCTGTCTTCCAACTAACTGGGAAGGTTTTTGTTTGTATCGATAATTTTACTAAATATATAATTGGCTCCAACAGAAAATCTTTATATCTCTTAAAGGGCACATAGGTTACCCCTGTTTTCATTTCTAATACAAGTCTTTTGTGTCCCCAGAATGTGTCTTTAAAGTTTCAGCTCAAAACAAAGTGTCTGAACTGTTTGAAGTGTCTGTATTATAGCTGGAAAAAGGTTGTTGCTGTTTTTTTGCACTGGGCCTTTAAGGCTAGTCCTCCCCACCCACCGTTCCCACGTACCTGTAAGCAACATGCCTCAATCGCCGCCCTCGGCTGCCTCAGGAAGCAGATCCCATGTAACGTTTTTGAGAAATACTACAGTAAGAACTTCACCAATCAGTATTTGATGCCTTTTTTTTTGTGGAGTTGCAACAATGAGTCACACACAATGTCATTACAAAGTTCTCTCACAATTCAATTCAATTCAATTGAGCTTTATTTGTATAGCGCTTTTACAATGTAGATTGTGTCAAAGCAGCTTCACATAAATGGTCATAGTAACTGGATCAGGGTAGTTCAGTTTTTAGTGTTTAAGTTCAGTTCAGTTTAGCTCAGTTCAGTGTGGTTTGAAGTCATTACTGAGAGTTCAAACACTGAAGAGCAAATTCATCGATGAGTAGCTTTTCAGATCCTGAACCATGCAAGCCAGTGGCAACAGCGAAGAGGGAAAAAAACTTCACCAATAGGAGAGTGAAGAAAAAAAACCTTGAGAGGACCAGACTCAGTTCGGCACGACCATTTTCATTTCTCCGCTGGACAAAAGTCTTGTGCAGAGCTGCAGATATCAGCAGTGGAGGCTGGAAGCTGGCCTCAGCGAAGACTCGTCACACACACCCACATCCCACACAAACACACACACCCATAGCGTAGACACACACACACACATAGAGCAGACACACACACATAGCGCAGGCACACACATACACAGACACAGAGAGAAAAACAGCACATTAAGCTTTGCACTCGTTTTGCACGCATATATAACTATGATACAGGTTAATATCCACTGCTGTATGAATATCTGGTATGTTAATGTACAAAATAAACCCGATTTAACGTCCACAAACCAGGATTGAAGCGTCTTCTTTTATAATTGTTCTGACACGCGGCTGTGCTGAAGAAGTGAATCTGAAATGAATCGCTGTAATTCATTACACACGTGCACTGTTTTAAAACATTTTAAACTTGTGAAACTCACTCTTGATCATGTTTGATGATGATCCTAGCGAACTGAACAGACCTTTTATTCCCAGTTGCTTTGCGCACATCCACTCTTGTTGATATGATTATATGCGTTACTATGGAGACATGTTAATACGCGCAGCTGTCAATATTGCTGGGCGGGGGGACCGCACTCCTACGTCAAGTTGCGGTCGATTTGAAAACCACGCGAATTGGTCCACCGTTTTATGTTGTTAAATAAAAAATAAAAAGGCTGTGTGTGTTTATATTAGCCCAATATGACGGTCTATACACTATACTTACACACGTATCTGTCCAAACAGCTTTAAAAGTAGATTTTAAAGTAGATTTTTCACCATAGGTGCCCTTTAAAGTGACTTTAGAGTTGAATTTTCAACATCAAAAGTTGACAGCAGAGATCACCATCCCATAATGCAATTCACAACCATAAATAAACAGAAAACACTCATCGCAAAAATCCAAAAACTGTTAATTAACAGATATTTTTTTGCAGTGTATATGGTTTATTAAATCAACACAAAAAACAATACAATCATCGCACTTTGTATTGATGACATGCTTATAATTAACATCAAAAAGAGTCATAATAATCCTCAAATAATCATAATAATATCACCAATACAGTCTTATTAGTCACTCAAAGCGTCAATGAGTCATCACTCTTTTCAGATGGCTCTTATTCTTAAACTCTCAGATGAAGACTAAATAGAGTAATTTGGAATAATTAATATATTTAAAAAAATGCATATGCAAACATGTCAGATGATCCTGCTGGGTCAGTGAGGCTGCTTTACTTCCTCAGTCCTCGTTTACTTCTAGATCCTTTGGTACTATAAGGGAAAGAAACATCAATGTGTTATTAAAAAAATATTTTATGTATCAGTGCACAATAAATTCATTTTTCATGTTATTTTTTTATTAAAGTGTTATAAAATTCAGTGTTTAGCATAATTGAGTGAACCGGTTAGAGAAAAGGAATATGTTTTTTAATTATTTTTGTCTCTTTTCATTAAAGAAACTGCATTTGCTTTGCTTAAGGTGATATATTAACCAAACTTCTTGTCAGTGTTATACACCTTGCATACTAATTAAGCATTTTTGCAGAAGCAGAAGCTAGAATAAAAGCAGTTTTTATTTTTAAAAAACTTTTTAAGGTTAAAATTATTAGCTCCTTTAAGCTAATTTTTTTTCGATAGTCTACAGAACAAACCATTGTTACACAATAACTTGTCTAATTACCCTAACCTGCCTAGTTAACCTATATAACCTAGTTAAGCCTTTAAATGCCACTTTAAGCTGTATAGAAGTGTCTTGAACAATATCTACAGAATTTGTGGGAAAAATAAACAGGGGGGCTAATAATTCTGACCTCGACTGTAATTCTTGCATTGCATTGAGGATACCAGAATTGTGTGAATCGAATTTCTCATTTGTATCCAATAAATTACTAAGATTTTTGACATTAAAGAAAACCCTCTCCTGAACATGTTTTATTAACTGCACATGAAATTGGCTATATATTCCAACACACCACATTTTGATAATACTTTTTTTTTTAAATTAATTTCTCAGTGAATATAGGCAATGTATTTTGGTGCATTTAAACAAAACAGATTTATTAAGCAGATACATTTATTAAAATAATATTCTAGTCAGCAAACATATTTAGAAATTAAAAGATAATACAATTAAATTCAAGCAAAATATTACAAAAATAAATTACAAACAAAACAACATTTTTGTAATATTTTTGTTGCTCTTGATTTTTCCTCTTTTTTTATTTGTATTTAATAGTTTTCTATAACATGTAAATTTGGGTGTACTAGCTTTTGGACGTCATCTTAAGTTTTTTTTTTAAAAATAAGCTTATTGCTTATTATTATTATTTTTTTTTATTTGGCTTCAGTACTGACTGATCTAATGTAATTATAATATAGTATGGGTTCCTATTAAAATATGAATTTAAGATAGAGATTTGTGGGGGGGGGGGGGGTGTACTTATATAGGCTGAGCACTGTATCATTATATTATAAACACTGGAAATAAATATCTAGAAATGAAATTTTCGATATTTTGTGATTAATTTAAAAAAAATTCCAGATTTATTTATGCTTTTGAATTGCATTATGAGATCTTGATTTTCCTTACAACAACTTTTAACCATGAAAAGTAAAAAAAAGTGACTTTTATTAACATGTTTAATAGTTTAAAGTGATATATTGTGTGGGTTGGTGTTGTATATTATGCTACAAAAGTCTTGTATTAAACCGCTATCTACATTTCCTGTTATTTTACACATGTATATATCTATATTATTTCTTATACATTATATTATTTCAAACTACTAAAATGTCAATGAAAGTTACTTTGTTTAACTGTAAAGTTGAATTTTCAGTATCAAAAGTCAACAGAGTAGAGATCAACATCCCATAATACAATGCACAACCTTAAATAAACGGAAAACACTCATTACAAAATATGGAAACTTAATTAACAGATATATTTTACAGTGTGGCCTATTTTGCTTGCACCGTGCGTTCTCTTAGCTCATCGGTCAAAAAATAAACGTCAAAATTCTTCAGATGCTTTAACCTTAAGTCTTTTAGATCCATGTATATCAGGAATGTACCCCGACCTAAACTTTACACCAGTAAAGTAGCTGTTGTTTCTTTATTTACCGGTGTTAGGATTAGTCTTATCTTGCAGCAGGTGTGTTTTCAGCAGTAGCCAGTGAAGCTGAACCAAATCTCTTATTCTTTTAGCGCTTAAAGCAGGATTTCCCAGGAGCCCCGTGTCTGTCTGACTCTCGAAACTTCCCCGTAAACAGCTGCCGGATTCTCCTGCTGATCCCTGTGCGCCCTTCCTATGGCAAGCCATTTCATATTAAATCTACATGGACATACAGTCATTCATTCATTTTTCTTTGGCTTAGTCCTTTTGTTCTTTAGGGGTCACCACAGCGGAATGAACCGCCAACTTATCCAGCATATGTTTTACACAGTGGATGCCCTACCAGCTGCAACCCAGTACTGAGAAACATCCATACACACGCATTTACACTCAGAATAGAGTTCAATGAAAAATGTGACAAGGTAAAATGTAGTCTTAAGTACTAGCTATAAATGTGTACTAAAATATGTTGAATAGATACAGTACTAGTAGTCAATCAACTGATAACAACCCTTAGGAAAACTAATTCTGCTTTTGTGTATGTGTGTTACAAAACCATGATTAATTTGTGGTTACCATGATCATTGATTTGTAAAACCACATAATCAAGTTTGTAACCACAATTTACCCATGGTTTTGCAACACTAACAAGTACTAAGCAGGTCCCACTTTATATTAAGTGTCCTTAACTACTATGTACTTACATCAACAAATAAATACAATGTACTTACTGTGTTTATAATGCAATTGAGAACACTTGTGGTGCATTTAAGTTGGGATAGGGGTTGGGTTATGAACAGGTTTGGTGGCATGGGTAGGTTTAAGGGTGGGTTAAGGTGTAAGGGATGGTCAACAGTGTATTTACAAATGTAATTACAAAAGTTAATTACAGATGTATTTACATACATGTATGTAATCAAGCATAAGTACAAAGTAAATACATGTATTCACACAATAAGTACATTGTAACAAACTATTAATTAATGTGTAAGTACATATTAGTTAAGGCCACTTAATATAAAGTGGGACCAAAACGAACAAAACGGTTACATTTTTACTATAGTAAACCATTGTTATTTTCATAAGGAAATGACTTGATATCTATTTTGACCTAATGAGTAAGTGCTATTAACTAATAAATACTTGTAAAATAAACTTGTAATCTTTCTACAATAAGTATACTGTAGATGTATTATTAGTATCTAAAAAAATAAGTATGTGTGAATAATACATTTTACAAACTTGTATTTCATTATGATGATGTGTTTCCAACTTGAGCAGGATATTAAGTTGGAGGCCGGGTTTAACTTTTGCGCTCCACCTCTATTTAAGTGGAATCATATGGTTAGATTTTAATTCAATTTTACCAAAGAAAGTGTATTTTTCAACAGTGAACAGTGTTTTACAAAATAAAAGTAAATTCTTAGTGTTGCCAGACGTACGATAATTATCGTATTTGTACGATAATTTCGACCTCTGTACGATGTACGATCACTAATGAGAAAAATCCTATAATGTACGATAATTTCAGAATTTTATGGCATTTAAAAGTAACTTCATTGTAATCTTCGGGCTTCTTTACGTATTGATCTAGCTGCATCTTTTCTGTACTGTCTGTGAGGAGTAGTCGGAGTTAGGCACATTTTCTATCTCATCTTACGTTGCCTCTTCTCAGCCAATCAACGTGGAGAATGGCTCTCTCTCACGAGTTAACACTCCTGCTGCGCATGCCCGTGGTTAGGTCAGCAGTTTTCAGTTTGAAGTCAATCTTTTGAGCAATAATGTTAAAACAATCCGTGCTGTAAAGGAAGGTGAGAAGGACGGGAGTTTTCCCTTGATGTTCTCGTTTTTCCCCCATTCAAATACGTCTTGTGAACGTGTTTTTTTTTTCCAAAGTTAGTCTTATCAAAACAAAGCATGCACACCTTAGAGTGTCCACTGCTTTCAAGCCAACCAGCACTATTTTGCAGTCCATTATGGCATCCAATTTGTACGGAGAAATAAATCCCTCAACATCTGGCAATATGCAACATTCAATGACAGCAACTCAGAGGTGGAGTTTGAACCTTCCCACTAAGGTACCTAGTTTTTTTTAACGTATTGTGGTAATTTGCACGTTGTGTCAAAACGCTATGTGTCTAGATAATAACTGTATATTCTCAGTTTGACTCGTGTACGATAGTTTTCCTCCAAATACGATAATGTTGAGGTTCTGGTACGATACTTTGACATTTCCAATCTGGCAACACTGATTCTGCTAGGGCGTAGATTTGCTCTTGACATTGGCGGGAATGGGTAACCCCTGAATCAGGTCACACATCTTATTATTACACAAGGAAATTTCACCCGCTGTTTTGTCGCTGCTTGTATCTGAAGGCAACTACAGCCTCTCATGTGACAGCAGGGAAAGGCTCAGCCAATCCCAATGGTCATATGTATTTGGGGGTGGTGTGAAAGAAAGAAAGAAAGAAAGAAAAAAAGAAAGAAAGAAAGAAAACGCGATTAAACCCTTTCTGCATGTCTAGGTTAATATTGACAGCGCGATGATTTTGATGAATTAAATTATTGGTGGGGACATTTCAATAGTTGGTGGATCTTGGTGGGTACACATCCCTTCCGTCCATGCTAATCTACGCCCCTGAAATTCAGATTTCACCTGGACTTTAAAGGTGCCAAGAAGTGCTAGAAGTAGCTCCTCCCCTTTAAAAAAACAGCCAATAGCCTTTTGTTTCATCGCAGCTCTCTTAGTGAGAGTGGTTGACCTCAAGTGCATCAAATGAGAAGCAAATGAGTAGAAGAAGGGGCAGGGCAAGCCACTAGAGAGCATCTGATTGGTCCGAAGATTTTGAGTATGAGTTGACGTGAATAAAACTGTTGATCCATTTAGGCGGAAGTGACAAATTACAAGCTTTACATGTTTATATCAGTTTTATATCTCCTAGTTGCAAATTTTGTCATTGTTTTGGTGTGCACTAGCTTAAATATTATAAAACATATCAATACTGATACTTACATCTAACAAAATATGTTTTAATTTCATGAGACCTTTAAATGTTTAGACAGCTTTCCATACCCGTCCTAGTGCCAGTTCACAAAAGTATAGCTCTACATGCGGATTCCCTCAGGAAAAAAGGCAAATCATCTTGGAACAGACTTTACA